TGAATATTTCTTCTCAGACTTATTCTGTATCGTATGAAAAAGCAACGCAATTTTGAGAATGCGGAAATGGTGTCTCATAGAACCTAAAATGTACTTTATAATCTTCGGAATTCTGCTATATTTCACCCCCAAAATACATGAAATCGCAATTCAGGGACCCTATATTTCAAAATTTTCCGGACCCCGGACCCTCTAGACGGTCTCACGCCTTCTGCGTGAGGTTCGCCCCCCGCCCCGCAAAATTAAGGTTTGGCTACGCCACTGGTTATAGCTGTATACGATTATAGCTACAAAGAGTTGAAGTTATTGTTTATAGTAAAATATAGCTGAAGTTAATAAATTAAAGTTTTACAAAACTAGTCTCTCTTCAGACTCGCGCGTTCGCCAAACCTCGACGGCTTTGCCCCCCTCCCCAGTGAAAATTCTTAAAAAAGGCACTGATTTACAAAAAAATGTTCGAGACAATTGCATTTTTAACTTAATACGTTTATGGTGAATATTCCATTGGCAAAGTTTTCCTGGCTTTTTTATATCACATTATACAACGCTAACAGCTTGAAAATTCCACTCAACAGTGTAAGTTTTGTTAGTCTTGTTTAAGGTAAAGGCTTTTCCATTCATTGAAAAATAAAGATAAAAGGCATATTTTCCACGCGAAGTTAACTTTTACTTTATGTAGCGCGGCGCCGTGTTTGTTTTGTTTTGAAGCAATCTGTGACCGTTTACTTCTTTAAAATAAACTGCTTTAAACTAATTGGTTGATTTTATCATCACAATGTTTTTCCATCAATCAGATCAGTTTATTACTCTTTATCAGTTCATAAATTACCTCTGGGACTAGGGTGCGTGGCTCACAACTCAATTAAATCGTTTCAAGAAAGCGACAAGTGCTAACAGTATATAGCAGTTCCGCTAAAAATGTACTGTATGGTCAAGCAGCTAATTTTAGGGCGGTGCTGGACTTCTCTAGGGGTGGGTGTCAGAGACAATTGCAATTTTCGAAAGAACTGGTTGAGACTATTTCCCCCTAAGCAAAATTCGCATAGTATTAAGGCCGAAACACATGCATGCACCGAACACGATTCGACAACGCGGTACGATTTTTCACATTTTTTAATAAAACAGCCAATAAAGGAATTTTGAAAGACATGTAGACCGAATAACTCAAATTGTTAAAGCGCCTCTAAATATTTGAAAAACTTAAACTGGGATCAAAGTAATTGGTCAGTGAAAATCGAAAAATTGCGCCGCGTTGTAGAATCGCGTCCGGTGTGTCTCCCCCTTTATGATAAATCCTCCTTATACATTTTGACATTCGTGACGTTTATAAATTATTTTTCAGCTAAACTTCATTCACCACACAGGTATATACAGGGTGTATAAAAAAAACGCAACCTCGGAATTTCCCAAGAAATCGACATTGTTTTAAAGACAAAAGATTTTAGGCGCCTGGGAATTTAAAA